AGCAAAACAAATCGATAGGGAGCGTGAGCCCGAGCTAATTCCTAAAATGCAACAGGATGGCTTTTGATCAAAAAATTCTTTCAAGCATCCCTCCAACTTACTGTGGAAAAGGCAGTGCTACTCCCCAAAGTCTCCACTCAATGGGATGTGGCCAGTGAACAGCTAGGAAAACGCCTTGACCATGTCGTGTCACGAACCTGTCCAGCAGCAAGAGTTTGGGTGTTATTCTCAAACAACCTGTTTCCGTATGGGGAAGGTACGGATAGGTTATCACCTCAGACCATCTCCGTGTGCATTTGCTCCTTTACTTACTTCTATAGAGTAAGTTGTAGTGATCATACGAGTCGACCTCTAACCAAAAGATTAGCTGAACACGTTCCGTCATGGCTGGGCAATGAGGATAAATAACGCTGTTTTCGCGTACATTGCTAATTACAGACCTAAACGAGGATTTTCAGTTGAGTTATGAGGACTCGTCAGCGTCTGATAATAACAGCTGAAACAACCGCTATGCGGCTGAGAAAGCCGGTCTTGTGCGCACAAAAGCTCCTCCTGTAATATTTTGCGCTTGGCATGACCAATGGTCACTTAACTGTATGCACGTTTCCGCGCTTTTACAGCCAAACCCCGCTCGGCTTGGTCCTCTTCCTTCCCCTGGAGCGGCTCTTACAAGTTCCGAACCTCCTCTCCTATTTTCGTGACTCGTTTGCTCGTTTGATGAAATATATGACCACATGTTTTATCTTTGACCCCGTTCCCACATAAATGTAATGGTTCGATTCAGTGGTATAGTCTCACACTATATGACCAAAGTGTGCTCTGTTCGAATCTCGGGTGATTGGAAAGGACGGATTGATGATGGCTAATAAGCTGAAAATGCCCATTCCGCTCACACTTGTCGGTTTCACTCGGCATGCATATGTGTATAATCGAAGGCCGAGTATGCTTCGATGACAAACCTGACTTGTATGACCGACCAAATATCTATTCACCTCCGTTCAACTGTCGCACGGAATTGGTAGGTAAACAGTAAATTCATGGTTAATGAGTGTAAATGAATATTTAATTATGTTATAAGTTATCAAACAATATTAAATTGAAGCCACTTATAATTGTTTTAATGAGCAAAATATAATAAAGTCACTCAACATAAACTCTTGTTGCTCAGGCAACTGATGTCTATTAACGGAAATTTGACCTTATATTGAAGGAATTTAAGGAAATAACAAAAGGTCTGGCCGCTGCAAAGGTAAAAGTAGTCAAACTTTTTAAGTCAAAGAGAAACAGGAGCTCTGAATACAGTGCTACCACATCGATAGTTTTAAAAAGCTTTCTTTTTGAGGTATTCTTAAGGCAATACAAGGTTCATTTAAATATCAACGCATGTGTCCGTTTGTTAATTCTGCTCATGGAATATACAACACAGCCCGCAACAATGTCTCATTTGATAGCTTGTCTATAAAAATCGCCTAAAGAATGCATATGTTGAAAACAAATAGAGGTTTTTTCAGAAGCAATAAATTAAGCAAACCACCTCATATACCCTAGTCCCAGCATATGTCCTACGGAAACGGTGGTAATAGCGGTTTTATGGGTGGGTGTACTACCTAAACTACTTAAACTACTTAAACTGTACTACCCAAATTGCATTTGCCTTATTTTCTTAAAATTCTATTCCAAAGATCCTGTATAACCCTGCATAAAATCCGCAATTATTTAGTTTTTAGCTTTTCGGAATAATAGGCCGCATCAGAGAGAAACGTTTGGAACGCATTGACTGTAAATCTAAATTTCGCCAACAGGCAACACAACATCAAGCAAAGCTTACCACAGTCATCGTGTCTTTGTTTGTTGTTAAACCTCTTCCCTTAGTCTTTTCCACGGCAGAGCCGGAGAGTTCACCAGCGCCACAAATAAGACGTGTGGAGGGTTCGACTGAAGATACCGAGGCGTCCATGCATTTTGCTTTTAACTCGCTGGGCTGAGGCAGCACATAGTCGTTAAAATGGGCTTTTGTCACCACATCTAGCCAATGCAGTGTTTGGCGCAGGTCAACTTTTATGCCATCCAGTTTGCTGCACACCACTCGCCCGCTGCCCATCCTTCCAACAGCCACAAGTACCGGGTACTCTGTTCTCTATGAAGGAAATTAATGCTACTTTTACATAACTAGTAGCAATAAACATACTATATTAAATAAAGTAGCAAAGAACCACGAAACCGTCAAACCATTACACAGGT